ACAAAAGGCAGGGGGAGGGAGGAATGGAGGTTCACAGGATTAGACAACTGGGAATGGGAGGAAGTGAAGGGGAATGGGAATGGAAAAGACTGTAGAATTAATCAGACATAACTTTCCTATGTTCATATATGAATATACAACCAGTATAATTCCACATCATGTACAACCACAAAAATGAGAATTATACTCCATGCATATATGATATATAAAAATATATTCAAAATATATAATTACATATATTTTGAATGTATTTAACTAAAAAGAACAAATAATTTTAAAAAACAACATGTGATATGATATAGAATGCTATTTAGAAAACATATGAACTTCTTATACATGCAACAACATGGATGAATATCAAAAACATTAAGCTGAAGAAAAGAAGCTAGACATTAAAGTACCCACGTATAAATCCACTTAAGTGAAACTTCAGAGCTGGGCACTGTGACATACATTTGTAGTCCCAGCTACTCAGAAGGCTGAGACAGGAGAATTGCCAGTTTGAGGCCTGTAACTTAGCAACATCCTATCTCAAAAAAATAAAAAAGGACCAGGGATGTAGCTCAGTGGTAGTGCATCTCTGGGTTCAATACAGAGTCTGCAGAAAAGAAAAGGAAAGAAACTACAGAGAAGACAAAACTAGTCTATAGTGACAAGAAGTAGATCCATGTTTGTTTGGGACAGGGGGAGGGAAGGTGGGTAGAGATTATCAAACAGTAAAGGGGAAGAGGGGACTTTTTTTATGTAATAGAGATGTTGATATCTTGATTGTGATTTTAGTCACATTGTTATTTACCTTTGTGAATACTCATCAACCTGTACACAAAATGGGTGCATTTTTATTGCACGTAAATTATATTTCCATAATGTTTTAAAATGTACTCACAGAATACAAACTCTTCTAAAAAACAGAATACTTCCTAACTCATAAGACTAACATTATTTTAATACTAAAACCATAGAATGACATAAAAGTCCCACAGAACGTTTTGTACGTTATTATTAGCCTTCTATTATGAAAACACACTGATTAAACATTTAAAGACACATCAGTACTTACAGTAGGAAAAGGGAAGTTTGGATGACAGATAACTGTAGCAAGAGAATCCTAATACATGCAATCTAATTTTTTATTTTCCTGAACCCTTGCCATATTTATCTCTTTTTAAAAAACTGCATCTGCTAACCAATTTTCTATCAAAATACATCCTTATTGTTAAGACAAAAATACTAATATTTGTTTTCAAAAGCATGATCCCTACAGTTTTCAATACTTTTAATATTTTTCAAAATTCTGTCAAAATCAGGGTTAAAGTTCACTCAATCACAATACATAAGTTAAATCACATCTTAAAAATTTATGACCTTATCATGTACATCCATAAGACCAGGAATCCTAAGTAGAATAAGATATATTCCATGTTTGTATAAATATGTCAAAATAGATTTTACTGTCATATATAACTAAAAAGAAGAAAAAAAATTATGATCTTAGGGCCTATTCACTTTTTGTGTGAAAAAAAAATCAGACATATACCATAGTAGAGAGATTACTGTTACAAACTGCCATTCATCATTATCAAGATTATAAAATTCAAGATGTTTCTATTCTTGCTTTCTCTTTTTTTCTTTCTTTTAAAAGCAAATCTTAGACATCCTGTCTCTTCAGTGATATACACCTCAATATGTATCCCTTTAAAAATGAATATTTAAGACTTCTTTTTAATATTGTTTTTGTAGAGCTGGATACATTAGGTTGCTTTCTTGATATGCTAGATGTCTGGTTGAATTCTTGGCACCCTTCTTTGACATTGTAATTTTTCAACTTCTAAAACCCACAGCAACTATATAATTAATTTTAAAAATCTTTTAAAGAACATTCTTTCCTATAGGGTTTCATTAAGTGCCTCTGGCTTATAGCCTACCTTAAAGCTCGACATGTCATTTAAATATAGCATAAGCCTCAATTTTTCACTTGTCAAGGAAACTCATTTCTGGGTTTCACAAAATGATAGAAGGAAATAAAACTGGTTACAAAGGCCTAGCCAAAGAAAAAATTATCCAGAACTATTTAAAATGGATATTATATACCTACACAAGTACATATTGAGTACAAAAACATTTATATAATTTCTTAAAAGTTAGAAAATATTCAAGCAAGTGAATCAGTAAGAGCTTTTCTCAGTAATTCATGATCAAACATTCTTTCACTGTAACAAATCTACAGATATCATATCACTATCCACTCTACTAACTGACAAAAAAATCACAAAAAAATCAGTATACTGGATCTGGAAAATAAATATGTTTCCTATGGCTACTGCTTTGTTTTAGGAAAAAACAAAAGAGTATGCCATCATTAATGATTCATTACATCATTAAAATGCAGCTATCACTGTGTATCAGTTGTGCCAGAGTTGAGCTGTTGAGTTTCTGAAAGCTAAACACTAAGATCTTAAAAGCAAATAAAGGGACCTTCTTCCATCCAACAGATTTTTCACTGACTGGTCAAACAGTAATTTGACATACTAGAAAAGATAAGATATTAAATATATCTTACCTCCCTGTCTATGGAAAAAGGCATAAGAAGATAGCAACAGAGTAATCAATTGGAAATGAGGAGAAAAAAAAAGTGTTTTGTTTTTTTTTCCCCTCTGTCAAATAACATTTTTGAATGGAAGGATTCTTCAGGCTCTCAGTCTAAAGGATTTTGTGAGCTTTCCTTGCCTGTTTTTAGTACTCTCACTTTTAAATAAGAATTAACTGTGAAAGAAAGTTACTCCAAGGCACATAAAACTTGGGTTGCATAGTTTACTTCACAACTCTTCTACATGAGGTCTAAACCATCCACCTTAGAAACAGCCCAAAGGATTTATTCACAGGCCAAAAAACAAAACCTCAAAACAAAACCAGGAAGCCTGAGAGATAGCCCAGTTTGAATCTTACTAAATGATACAAAGACACATAACTCCTCAGCTGACCTATTTAAGTATAAAAAGAATAACAACTAAGATGTATGTACAGATACCAACTAACTTGTGACTCTATAAGGTAACAGTGCTTTCACACATGCATTATTCATTCATTATGTGTCCGAACCTGTAGATATAATTGAATCTAACAGAAACCATTAAATCAAGTATGGTTGTTTAAGAGTATGACAGTCATTAGGGAGCCAGATATCTTAGTGAGTTAAAGAGAACTTAACCAATACCATTTAATAAAAAATTTTAAATAATACAGCTAATTTACCCACTTTTACTGTGTACTTAAAAAATAAAAAGCCAAACTATAAATTTATCCTAAGAACAACCTCTGAGGCAATTTTATAGTGAATATTTTTATTTGTTCTTTTTTTCCCATCAACTTCACCACCCCCAAAAAAATACATAAAACCTAAATCTTACAAATGTTAGAAGTTGTTGCAAATAGCTGCTGTTTTAGCTAAAAACAATCACTATCCTTTAAAGTTCTTTCCTATTTTCTTTTTTTTTAAAGCAGATATAATTAATTTTTTAATATTTATTTTTTAGTTGTAGTTGGACACAGTATCTATTTTATTTTTATGTGGTGCTGAGGATCCAACCCAGGACCTCGCACGTGCTAGGCGAGCACTCTGCCACTGACCCACAATCCCAACCCCCTATTTTCTTGTTAACAGATATGACTGTCTATTTTGCTAAACGTTAACAGTCTCTATAGTAGAAAAGAAATTTCCTGGAAAAAAAAAATAGTAATCTGTGAATGAACTGGAGGTGCTTTTGGGCTTTGTTTTGTTTTTTATTTTCTTGGTACCAGGAAATTGAACCAGTAAATTCAGGAATACTTAATCACTGAGTCACATCCCCAGCCCCTTTTTATATTTTATTTAGAGACAGAATCTCGCTAAGTTGCTGAGGCTAGCTTTGAACTCCCAAGCCTCCTGCCTCAGCCTCCCAAGCCACTGGGACTATAGGTATGTGCCAACACACCCAGCTTAAAGGTGCTTTTGTTTAATTTTTACCTGTATAAGAAACACATTAAAGATCAACTAATTAAGGACAAGTCATCTTTCAGTCTTAGGAACACAATGTTTGAAGTAAGGGAAGATGCTGCCAGATATCTTTCCCTTCATATGAATAGGTTTTTATATTTACTATTGCCATTTGTCTGGAACAAAGAAAAGGTTTTACTGCCATTTGTTGGTTGGAGAAAGTCACAGGATGGATTTTTCATTGGCACAGATTGATGTAAAATAAATATTAAAAATTGCAAATCCTCTTAAAAAGAAGTGAGGATGATTATCTCACTACATTTGTAACAGTTCTTTTTCAGTTCTTTTTATTTTTCTTGCAATGACATACAAGTGACGCTGAAAATACAGGTTACACAGCAGTCAATGTACACACTTTATACCTAGAAAAAGTGTACTCACAGAGTAGGAACAGTGGAAACTAAAAGTACATTTTATGGTAGTGGTGCCAAAGATTTAAAAACATGTATATATTGTCACTTGAGGGAAAGAACAATCACTTAAATAATTGGGCTTTATGAAGATCTAGGTGTTGGAGAGACAGCTAAAGTATTTAAAAAGTATATAATGGGGATGTGGCTCAAGAGGTAACACTCTGGGGATGTGGCTCAAGAGGTAACACGCTCGCCTGGCATGCACGGGGTGCTGGGTTCGATCCTCAGGACCACATAAATTAAATAAAGTTGTTGTGTCCACTGAAAACTGAAAAATAAATCTTAAAAAAATTCTATCTTCTCTCTCTCTTAAAAAAAAGTATATGACAATATTTAAGCATTTATCACTAAGATAGCACTGAATTACTAAGTTATTTAACTAGTTTCCAAGTCTTAAGATGATTTATCCCAATACCCAAAATGATAATATTCTCTATTGAAATCAGGCAAAAAGGCTGTAAAATGTAGTTGAGCACAGGCTTTCCACACAGTAGTTACAAGTTGCTCAAGAGTAGAGTGCTAAAATTTATTTTGATTTTCTTAAACTCACTCAC